CATGCTATTAGTAAATTATACAAAATTTATACTACATACATAACATTTATGAAAGTAAAATAATTCTGTCTAATAGTTCTCAATTTTATATTGATATGCATGTACCTACAGACAATTTATAAGAAGTTTTCATTTTGTAAATTATAAATTGTAATATTTGTTATAAAGAGCATTTTCCTAGTGTTCTATGCTTCTAATAGTCTATTATTATTCTTTTTACTATTATTAGAAAATTCTGAAAGAATACCCACTCCAGGAAATTTATCTGATCATGTAAAACCAATTGATGCTCAAGTGATAAGTTTCAATACATCAGATTTAGAAGAGCAATATTACTCTAAAGGATTATCCACTTCAACTCCATGTTATCAAGAAAATGGTCGAAATGATAAATCATGTTCGCTTCCTTCTAGTAGCAGTAGTTGTACAACTTGTACAGAAGATTCTTCTACATCAGAAAAATTAAATAAGGATATGAAACAGAACAATGTAAAATCATTACATACTTCAAATAAACCAGAATCTGATGCACGACAAAGTCATGGAGTTAAATCTCACGCCTATTTAAAGGATCCACGCCCTTATAAATGTAATATGTGTCATGTAGGTTTTCGTGTTAGTGGGCATTTATGTAAACATTATCGTTCTAAATCACATATGTCAAATATTTTACAAATGGCTCAATTATCAAATAGTACAATTGAACGTATTTTACAAAGTCATATGGGCAATCTTCAACTTATTAATCCAGATACTGGTGAACTGAGTATGCGAATATTAGAAAAAATAATTCCACCTTGTGAATTTCCAGCAATAACAACCGTTAATTCAGGAACAAATGGACATAACTAAAAATCTGCCCTAATTGTGTCTGCTTTAACAATTGTGATTACAGTATAAACTGTTTTTTGTACATATGATCAAAATTTTTAAAATAAACAATGATACTTATTTTTTGCGATACTCAGCTTTCTTTTCGTTTCATAAGTTGATGTTAAGCAGGTGTTTGGCATTCTGAAAGTTCGGCAGTAAACGTTTTCATATGAATGGGACCTACTATATTCATGGTAAGTGCTGTTTACTAATATTCTGGGTTCAATTTTACAAGAGCTTAACCAGATGAACTGATGAAAAGTTCCATTCAAAAACATGTGGTTGTCCATTCTTGAAATTTACTGGCCCTCCGAATGACTTGAGCAAGCAGCACGTACTATAGAAACCTTTTTATGTCTAAACAAACGCATATGACTGATGCCACGAAGGAGATAATGACCGAGCATACAATTGTCAAGCATTATCAGCTTGAAAGGGATGAACTCCGTAAGTATGAAGTAGAACTGCTGTAAATCCGACAATTATAACCGAACTTACGAAGACGACTTCACTCATCTAGGTCTATAAACAAGCACTTAGATTATCAACTGATTCAAGACCTGAATGCGGCGAACCACATACAAACGAACATTAGGCGCCAAATAATTGAGGGCTCGCATGTCATGCCATAGTAGGACGATGTCACAACACAAGATATTTTCTACGGAAATCTAAATACATTTATCTCACAAAAGCCCCTCTCCAATAGTCAGTTCCCGAACACAGAATTTATCTGAACACATAAATATTGGTATAAAGGGGCACCGAATACATATGCGCCACACAAGTCACTTGTTTTGTGTGTGGGCTAAGATACTGCCCGGTTGCCCAGACCGAAGCAAGTGGTTTCCTAAGGCGCCACAACCCGAGCCTTCGACCTAAAGGTCTGTTCCACAAGGCAGTGGAGCAACGTAATGAGATGCAGTCCCATCAGAGCCGGTGACCAACGAATGGTTTATATGCCAGTTGTTCCTTCAGGATCCTGGAGCTCATATGCACCATTGGTTAGCGTTTTTCAACTCCCCTAAATGAACCCCCCATGTTTACCAAGCCGGTTAGAGCGCCGGATATTCGCTTCTCGTCCTCTCGATTTCGTGAAAACACCCCTACTGTGAGAATGCAGTGAATAGGACTTCTCTGGAAGTGGCTGTACACGCGTGGCCATGTGTGAGCATTTCGGGAGAGATGACTCTCCCCACTCCTGGCAGTACCAGGGCATTTGGGGGCCCTGAACACGAATTCTAAGAAATAGGAGCCAACCCTGAGAAATACGATAACTTTTAGATTATAATTGACAATGCGCAATAGTTTACCGGCGTTACGATGCTGATTCCACAGTCCCACCATGAACCCATACTCGTAAAGCATGAGTCTTGAAGATCGAGAGCTTAAATATCGATTTCAAAATACTTGACTCGGATTTTGTAATGAAGTGTAACTATGTAGAAGCAAGATTTCCGGCAGTATTAGTGTGTATAATGAAACAAAATGGGAAGAAACAAAACCCATGTAAACACCGTTAGACAAAGTTATGTCGAAAGGGTTCATAGCTTTCGAATTCTCAGTTTTACATGTCATGTCATAACTGATCTCACCACCGCTTGTCTGTTCTACAAGCTCGATTCGGGACACAATGTTGGGAAAGAGGTTATAAAATATTAAGGGTGCTATTTCGTAAGCTCTATGAAAGCGGAATTGAATTATCGGTATTAATCTACTACATAAGACAAATGTTTCAATCAAGTAGATAGAAAGCCTAGTTTGTAGTTTACTTTCCTATCTCTTTATATAAAGAGATATATAGTACTGAAAAGACGTTTAGGAAGATGATCGCACCACACAATCAACGCACTAGCACATTTATTTTCGTATATTGCGCAGCTATTCGAAGGACCAAGCTGAACTCACCAAACACCAGCTTGTCATGTAGCGCACCTCGAGTAGAAATTTGCACTCAGCCTTAAAAAAGTTGTATACTTCGCACGTTTACTTGTAGTATTTGATGAAGCAAGACAGTTAGACATATCATGGTAAGCTCACTCTTTGTAAAAGTCGAACGTCGCAACAAGGTCACAGGTGGCAAGTGCGAAACGACTTTGTATTGAGATATCGTTAATGACCAAGAAATTCGATTACTTAATCTCCTTTTTAAAATAAGCGTTGCTGGAGAAACACCTTAAACTTAGTGAATATGAAACACGTGTAGACCGGAGTGAGTAAACACAATAGACAACATGTATTCGTAGTGATAACTATAGATAATTTCCTTAGTAGCACGGAAATATATTTGTTTTTGTAAGGAGATATGGTATGGATTCAGTGTTCAGCAAATCGACTGTAACCCATCCGAAACTAACTAGATTTGTTAGTTAAAAGTTAGTCCCTTTGACAAATAAAAAAATACAACGATAAGACGGGATTTATCAGAACTGTACAATTGTTCGAAATGTATTGCTCTAACATATCGTATAGATCTGATAAGCTTCTCATTGCATTAAATTACATTCATTGAGATTACCTCTTAAAATCGTAATAGCTCTAATCAAGGCGGATTATGTTTAGGTAGCTGTTAAAAGTCGTAAGCTAAGAATTAGTCTTGGCAGAAACAAAAATTTATATCATTTCAACTGTCGATCCAAATTTGATGCAAGAGGAAGAACTTTAATCACGTACGGTGATTTAAAAGTAACAAATCAATCAATAACATAAATTCTTTCGGTTTTCTCTTGGCTTTATAGTACAAAATAATCTCTTATCATGTCTATTTTGTATAAGAACAAATGTTTTATTTTGCTAATAATGATTACGAGCAATTTATCACGAAAAGGGCTAAATAAGTCACTCAATCAGGATGTTATATTGTAGCTTATGCTGAGTCCTTGACTGAAGATTGGTTTTATTTCATCCATACAATCGAGTCAGCTCAGGGAATTACTTAGTCAGAAATTAATGCAACCTGTTCCCTACACAACCTTAACATAGGTGTTATAATTCATTCTTACGGTTATAACCCGGCTATTCCTATTGCTTAGTCTTCTCAGACACCAATTCACTCGACAGGTCCCCAGATCAGAACACGGTTGAACAGGAAAGAGATTATATTCAAAATAACAAGGTTAAATGGAAGGAAGAAGCACAATAGGAAAAACGTTAGTATATTTATAGTTTCTACATGAGAAGATCCATAGATTGTTCTCCAAGTATCGACTAGCGCTGATTGGATAATAGGTATTTCGATATTACAAGACGGTCAACTGAAAAGGATTTTCAGGATACATAAATGTTTGTTTTACTGTTGTTGGAGCGATCGCTACAGCATCCAATCAATCTCCACTATCAGTCATTTGTGCACTGTTAAGCTCCGATGTTCAGTAACAATAAAGCACAAACACTAGAAACTATGTAAGCTTTATTTTTAGGTAGTGGTGACGCGTGTTTACCTTTAACGGATCTCCAGTCATCCCATCTTTGCACAGCCACACAATAACTTAAAGTGTCAGTCGTTGAAATACTACATGGACTTTCAGTTCTGGAAGTAAGATATATAAAGTAGGGAGTCATTATTGCAGAAATGACCGCACACATAATGGTCATGATTGATTTGTCTTAAGGAGTTATTCCTCTGATTCTCAGATCACACCCCTAGGCTGACTAAACTGTTACTACAAATCTAGTTTCTCTCTTATGAACTATGGAAGTAAGTCCTATAAGTATTCACTTAATTATTAATACATATCACATCGTTTATTAGATTTGCTGATAATTATAAACTTCAGTAAAAGAATAACGTTTTATCTGAAGCGCTAAACGCTACTTTAATTTCTGAAGAGAAATGGATAAGAATTATGATAACACATTTTAAAATGAATGAAAGAAAGACCCATATCATTTCCAGTGACGTTCATATTAACTAGCGACTTTTATTCGTAAAGAATGAAACAACGAGTGTTTTCAATTTTTACAAAAACACAAAACATTAACAAGTTAACTGCATAGAACATATCTGTGTAATTGAAATAATTGGATAAAGCATTCAAGAATAATAAAATTAGTGAGGATGTGGGTTTTCATTTAGTTCCACAGGAGACGGAGTTAGGGAAAAAGAAAACAAGGATGATAGTGAGGAATCAGATTTGATCACCATACCGTTTAACGCTGAAAACAAAAAGATCAAATAATGAGTCACTAAAGCAATTATAAATTTATTTAGTAAATGTGGAAAAACATCCACGATGAATACTAAAAGATCGTCATCGGTACATAACTAATACACTATTGGTTGCCAAACTTCGATGAAGAACCTAACATAAAAATTATAGGTTCAACGCCCCAAACATGGCGCGGTTCAAAACAAAGTACCTGGACTAATGACTCACAGTTCTTAAAGAAGCAGAGTGATAAATGTGCATATCACGAGCATAAACTTGACAATACATGAGTATCTTCCACATCTCCCAAATGATGCAACAGGGGATACGTATCGACATGCACCCATCTAACCTAACATTAAAGTGTAAAATCGTTGAAAGTATCAACTGCTTGATCTACACACTGGAAGTTTCATTGACTTAAGGCGGTCTATACCGTCTATGGTGTCGAAGCGATAGTTTGAGATATACACCGGCAGGATATATTACCAACCACTTTATGCTTTATTACTTAACTAAATGTATGAGAAATTTCCTTGTCGCATCAATTGATGGACACGGCAGACATTCAAATATTATTGAACTTGCATTTATGATGTGGAAACTTTATTTCTAACACCATTTCACTAAAAGGGATTAAACCTTGGTCATTCATAAACAATGCCGAATTTTGACTGAAGTTCCTGTCTCTTCAGTATCAACTAAATAAACAGTTGATATAGTCACGAAAATTTGAAGCAAATCGTTCGGTATCTAAATTATTGATTCAGACGCACAACCAGATTTGTGCGTTGAATACTGCATTGCAGAAGGGAGGTGTTCATATGAGCGAATTCTATGATTAATACTGTTCGAAATTTAAAAAAAAAATCGAATCGGACTAACCACAACAGACGGTCGCCATTATCTGTTCTTTGAGCCACGATGCTATAAGATCCACCCAGGTGTCTTTCCCTATCGCTTAGTTTACCTATTTGAGCATTAAAGTCACCGGCCATTATTACTACATCCGAGCGCCTAGCTTTTCGGAGACGGTCGGAGAGCTTTCTGTAAAACTCATCTTTTACATCATCTGCGCTGCAGTCAGTGGGAGAGTAGGCAGAGACGACGAAGAGGCAACGACGAGTGTCCTTATCTTTTCGAATCCTTACTGTTCCATTCAGTCAGACAGCGCACAAACGACTGTCTACTGGGATCCACTCTAAGAGGGCTAGTTCTGCCCTAGGACTCAATGCTATACCTACGCCGGCGAGGCCACGGGAAGCAGAATCAAAGCTTCCAGATACATGAAGTGTGAATCGAGTCGGTTCTTTATTTTGGCATGGTGAGGTCAAGTAAATAACGCTACTCGGATCCTGTATGCGCGTTTCGGAGACGCAGCACACATCGATGGCGCGGGATCCTAAAGTCTTAGCTAAGGAAGCCTGCTGTCCTATTTGGCAGTGTTCGGACGTTAAAAGCTCCTACGTGTAGTTTAGAGAGTGGTTTCAGGAGACCAGGAATAACGTTCCGCGTGCTCGAATCGGTTGCCCTAGCGGTGACCGCAGAGCCCAACGGACAACTGCTTGAGGCCGGTCGCGCACGGCTTTTTCGTGGAAGGTTTTTAATGTGTTAGCTCCGTTCTTCAAAGGGCCTTACCGCCGGAGACGGAAATCCGTGAGGTAAGGTGAGGTGTGACATTTTCAGGGTCGACCTTTTCTAACCCCACCCCTTCTTGTGGGAAGGTAGCATCGCTGCAGATGCTGGTTGTCTGAGGGAAACACCTTACTGCTATCACACGTCTGTACAGTCAGCAGTACGACTTCGCCCTCAGACCTTTAGTCTTACCGTTCTCCAATCAACCTGCCTGGCATGGTAGAACCTACAGGAACATATGTTCCAGCCAATATAGCTCGGTTGGGTCATAACGATAGGCAAGCCCGACCACTGCGTCAAGGTAGCAGGTTCGGTCGGGAGAGATATCCAAAACATTGAAGGATCATGTGCCACGTTTTGATTGGATAATTTCCTGTCATTATTATTCGGTATGTTTCCAAAAGACCAAGGCCATATGAAAGTAACACACTCAATGGTGAGACTATAATTTATGGACGACTTTTGAGAGACGCTAAAGTGATCTTGCGAATGTTTGCCTACTAACTATGACTAAATCAGGATCATAAACCAGTGTGAGGATTTGGAATTATGATTTACATTCGACATCAGCTAAAATGTCAAAACGCTATTTAACCGAATAGATGAATGAATTTCGCGCCAAAATTCAAGACCTGTCATCTTATATCTGCTTGGTTTGTCCACAAATTATAGTCCCGAGTTTGAAGTGTAAAAGTAGTCTGGAGTTACAGGAAGCAGCTAGGAAATCAGCAATAAGTATTTCAGTGGTAGATTTAAGAGAATTCATAAGAAGTTGCATAAATAGAAGATTTAAGCAAACTATGGTTGTTAGTGAGGCACTAAAGTTGGAATGTCATTATGAAGCTGGATTTCGCCAGTTAGTTTGAACTTCTCATTTATATTAACCAATATATAATTAAAGTAAAGAGATTGAAAACACCAATCTCCAATGTTTTATTCCACTTCTAGGTTGGTTAAGGCACTTACTATCCCAACGACATCAATGAACTGTTGAAAGCCTAGGGAACCGAACTCAGATTCAGGAACATATTTATAATCATGTGATCTGGTACGTTTCAGTTTTGAACAGTAAAAAAAAGATATAATACTGTGAACAGAACACGTTAAACTCAATGTTGCACAGAAAAAAGAAAATATCGCTTCGAATAATTTATTTATTTATATTCAACGTACCACATTTGAAGAAGAAATTGAGCGTTTTGAATTTGTTCAGGAGTTCCAGTTATTGTAATAATACGATCTTCAACACCGGGTTCCTGTTTACTGATTTTAATATCTGCATTTGACTCATGACGAACTTGATTTATGCGACAACCGGATCTACCCATGATCGCACCTATCATCTTAATTAGAAAAACAGAATTAACACTTAGAAGTGTAAAGCATAAAAAGGATTACAACAGAATTAAATTACACTAACCTTGTTGCTCACAGAGACCTGAGTGCTAGTAGTCGGAGTTAATATGCTCATGGCCATACGGCTGGGTAACCTTAAGAAAAAATGAAACAAAATAATACAACGCAAGCTACACATGAAAACAAAACGTTCATAGAAAAGCGAAAACGTTAATTTATGCATATTGAATGGACGAGATACACACGGAGTGTAAAATTGAGAGCAGAATATACTACGAAGTCATTAAAATAAAAGATAAGTAATTCAAGAAACATACATAAATAAGCAAAATTAACTAAACTTACTAGCCCATAAAAAGCAAAGAATATTAAAAACAATCAAATACACAACAAAAACAAACTAAAAGGATGTAGATCAAGCAAGTGAATAAAACAAAGAAATCCATGCAATACAAAACAAAATCAAAGAAAATCGCATACCTCACACATATACAACGACTTTGCCTGAAATACATGTATGTATTTCTCTACTACCAAGTCTTTCCGAGAATGCAAAATCGCTCGAACACCACACACAAACGCTACTTTAAACACAACGATTCACTGACCAACGCAAAATCTATTTGTCGAAAATTCATTTCAAAACCACCATCAACATCAGCGCTCAACACATACAAGACTAACCCAAAAAGTCATATCTGTTACGCATAAGACAAATAACTAAAGTGACATGTCGTCTGCATTCGTACCAAACAAGTCCCTGGAATGGACAAGAGGCATAGCAATGCATCCGTTCAATCTCAGCCGCAGGAAACGACTCGTCGTGAATCCCATATACACGGAGTAGCTGAACGGCTATTCAACATACTATACTCAAAGATCTACGTACACATAATTACACAACAAGTGAACAATCATTCAAAACAACTCATTGACAAGACACTTTCATCATATGCATATATTCATAAAAAGACAGAAACTCAAAACAAATTAATATCTTCCCGAACAAGGTTAAATTACTCAGAAAACACACACACACACACACACAACGTACATCGATTCATTCTGTCTTCATAGTACGGTAAAAGGAAACTCTGCTTCTCTCAGTTCGCACACTCACATGGCGTAGCGTGACCAACACAGTAGACAATGAAACCTGCTGTCATACTGACCACTAGTGTTTCATTAAACAGACAACACACTAATAACATTTTGTCGCACACGCATCAAATGCATTGCATAAATATCAGCTACTCTAACGACATCATTCACGAACGTGCACAATGCAGTATAGTAGCTATATAACTGACTACAGATACAGAAAAACAAATCACAAACAAACATACGAATACACTACTAAGAACGACATAAACACCTTAACAAATCAACATCCCATGTGGCCTGCACATCGTACCCAACGAGTCCCTGAAATGGACAAGAGGCATAGCAGTGCATCCATTCAATCTCAGCCGCAGGAAACGACCCACAGTGAATCAACTATGCACGGGGCAGCTGAACGGCTACTCGCCATAACCAATCGACACAGCCCAAACAATACAAATACACACTCGTATAAAGCATCAACATACAAAATCTACTCTATATGTGTATACAACTGTCTATATACATACACACTTTTGTTAGATAAAATGAAACGAACATATCGGACAAGACTATTCTCAATCAGGACACAGCTTCATGTATGTCGGTTGTGATGACAGGATTTAGAAATAAAGAACCTGCATGTGCGACACGACAAATTATCTTTCAGCCGCAAACAACTGTTCAGCACATATTATAAATGCGATGAACAGCTCCACGGCAAGTCATCACACACAAATAACAAACCAACATTAGCCCACATCACTGAATCACATTTGCACAAAATCAAACCAATCCGTTTCTCTCTCTCTCTCTCTCTCACTATATATATATATATATATATATATATATAGATGTGCAGAAAGGAAAGAGCATAGCGCACACGTACACTGAAAATTTGCATGTCATACATGTATGTATTTCTCTACTACCAAGTCTTTCCGAGAATGCAAAATCGCTCGAACACCACACACAAACGCTACTTTAAACACAACGATTCACTGACCAACGCAAAATCTATTTGTCGAAAATTCATTTCAAAACCACCATCAACATCAGCGCTCAACACATACAAGACTAACCCAAAAAGTCATATCTGTTACGCATAAGACAAATAACTAAAGTGACATGTCGTCTGCATTCGTACCAAACAAGTCCCTGGAATGGACAAGAGGCATAGCAATGCATCCGTTCAATCTCAGCCGCAGGAAACGACTCGTCGTGAATCCCATATACACGGAGTAGCTGAACGGCTATTCAACATACTATACTCAAAGATCTACGTACACATAATTACACAACAAGTGAACAATCATTCAAAACAACTCATTGACAAGACACTTTCATCATATGCATATATTCATAAAAAGACAGAAACTCAAAACAAATTAATATCTTCCCGAACAAGGTTAAATTACTCAGAAAACACACACACACACACACACACAACGTACATCGATTCATTCTGTCTTCATAGTACGGTAAAAGGAAACTCTGCTTCTCTCAGTTCGCACACTCACATGGCGTAGCGTGACCAACACAGTAGACAATGAAACCTGCTGTCATACTGACCACTAGTGTTTCATTAAACAGACAACACACTAATAACATTTTGTCGCACACGCATCAAATGCATTGCATAAATATCAGCTACTCTAACGACATCATTCACGAACGTGCACAATGCAGTATAGTAGCTATATAACTGACTACAGATACAGAAAAACAAATCACAAACAAACATACGAATACACTACTAAGAACGACATAAACACCTTAACAAATCAACATCCCATGTGGCCTGCACATCGTACCCAACGAGTCCCTGAAATGGACAAGAGGCATAGCAGTGCATCCATTCAATCTCAGCCGCAGGAAACGACCCACAGTGAATCAACTATGCACGGGGCAGCTGAACGGCTACTCGCCATAACCAATCGACACAGCCCAAACAATACAAATACACACTCGTATAAAGCATCAACATACAAAATCTACTCTATATGTGTATACAACTGTCTATATACATACACACTTTTGTTAGATAAAATGAAACGAACATATCGGACAAGACTATTCTCAATCAGGACACAGCTTCATGTATGTCGGTTGTGATGACAGGATTTAGAAATAAAGAACCTGCATGTGCGACACGACAAATTATCTTTCAGCCGCAAACAACTGTTCAGCACATATTATAAATGCGATGAACAGCTCCACGGCAAGTCATCACACACAAATAACAAACCAACATTAGCCCACATTACTGAATCACATTTGCACAAAATCAAACCAATCCGTTTCTCTCTCTCTCTCTCTCACTATATATATATATATATATATATAGATGTGCAGAAAGGAAAGAGCATAGCGCACACGTACACTGAAAATTTGCATGTCATACATGTATGTATTTCTCTACTACCAAGTCTTTCCGAGAATGCAAAATCGCTCGAACACCACACACAAACGCTACTTTAAACACAACGATTCACTGACCAACGCAAAATCTATTTGTCGAAAATTCATTTCAAAACCACCATCAACATCAGCGCTCAACACATACAAGACTAACCCAAAAAGTCATATCTGTTACGCATAAGACAAATAACTAAAGTGACATGTCGTCTGCATTCGTACCAAACAAGTCCCTGGAATGGACAAGAGGCATAGCAATGCATCCGTTCAATCTCAGCCGCAGGAAACGACTCGTCGTGAATCCCATATACACGGAGTAGCTGAACGGCTATTCAACATACTATACTCAAAGATCTACGTACACATAATTACACAACAAGTGAACAATCATTCAAAACAACTCATTGACAAGACACTTTCATCATATGCATATATTCATAAAAAGACAGAAACTCAAAACAAATTAATATCTTCCCGAACAAGGTTAAATTACTCAGAAAACACACACACACACACACACACAACGTACATCGATTCATTCTGTCTTCATAGTACGGTAAAAGGAAACTCTGCTTCTCTCAGTTCGCACACTCACATGGCGTAGCGTGACCAACACAGTAGACAATGAAACCTGCTGTCATACTGACCACTAGTGTTTCATTAAACAGACAACACACTAATAACATTTTGTCGCACACGCATCAAATGCATTGCATAAATATCAGCTACTCTAACGACATCATTCACGAACGTGCACAATGCAGTATAGTAGCTATATAACTGACTACAGATACAGAAAAACAAATCACAAACAAACATACGAATACACTACTAAGAACGACATAAACACCTTAACAAATCAACATCCCATGTGGCCTGCACATCGTACCCAACGAGTCCCTGAAATGGACAAGAGGCATAGCAGTGCATCCATTCAATCTCAGCCGCAGGAAACGACCCACAGTGAATCAACTATGCACGGGGCAGCTGAACGGCTACTCGCCATAACCAATCGACACAGCCCAAACAATACAAATACACACTCGTATAAAGCATCAACATACAAAATCTACTCTATATGTGTATACAACTGTCTATATACATACACACTTTTGTTAGATAAAATGAAACGAACATATCGGACAAGACTATTCTCAATCAGGACACAGCTTCATGTATGTCGGTTGTGATGACAGGATTTAGAAATAAAGAACCTGCATGTGCGACACGACAAATTATCTTTCAGCCGCAAACAACTGTTCAGCACATATTATAAATGCGATGAACAGCTCCACGGCAAGTCATCACACACAAATAACAAACCAACATTAGCCCACATTACTGAATCACATTTGCACAAAATCAAACCAATCCGTTTCTCTCTCTCTCTCTCTCTCACTATATATATATATATATATATAGATGTGCAGAAAGGAAAGAGCATAGCGCACACGTACACTGAAAATTTGCATGTCATACATGTATGTATTTCTCTACTACCAAGTCTTTCCGAGAATGCAAAATCGCTCGAACACCACACACAAACGCTACTTTAAACACAACGATTCACTGACCAACGCAAAATCTATTTGTCGAAAATTCATTTCAAAACCAC